CTGCAGTAAGAGTCGTGTAGGGGCCGGAGAAGGCAGCATTGTCCGTGGCCACGGGAGTACAGATAATCTTTGTTCCGACCTCATCGCCGGCCTTAGGGGGGATGACAATGGTGGTAGGCTCAGAATCAGGGCCACCATGAGCAGTAAGTGTAGCGCAGGGACCATCGAATATAGAGAAAGAGTTTCTGAGACAAAGCGGGCGTCAGTATGGTCGAGGAAGTAGCCATAGGGGAAGGTCAGAAACGGGCTTACATAGTAGAGGTGTGAGTGATGGTACTGGTGACCACAAAGTCCGACACAAGGAAAGTCGGGGCATTGGTGATGGACAAGACAGTGCCGGCAACACTCAACGTTGTGTTGGAACAGATATCGGCGCTGAGATGAACAGGGATCTGCTCGACCATTACGTAGGCCTGAACAGTCACAGGGTCTTCGGTGGGAGCAAGGCAGCTAGACGTAGCCGACACAGGCTCCAGGGCCAGAGCCGAAGCCAGGGCGGCGGCAAGCGCTCCTTTCCTTGAGGCGCGCATTTCAAAAAGAGAAGTGAAGAAGGCGTTTGCTAAAGTTGCAGGGATTCAAGTGAATGACAAGATACAAAAGAGGAGAAGATAGTGATGATATTATTCTCAATCTTCTCGAGACTTCATGTAGTTTATATGTGAATATCAAGAAAGCGATCATGCACTCGCGCAGCTCATACAAAACGGAACTTACTCAGTATGTCTTATCTATTGCATTCCGTCTTGTGAAGCCGTAGAGTCGAACATGATTGAACTGGAACGCATGCGGAGAACGACACTCAGCTGCCACCGTAGCCAAGTAACCTATTCACAGCATCTCGGCTAGAGCATAGGAATTTACAGATATCTACACATCATACGAGCGCTACGGAAGCCCCGCTCTCGTATACAAGGGACCAAGAACGTGCATGCTCTGAGTCTAGACGCGCTTTTGGTGATGAAAACAGCATGATCTTGACTACTACAGCTTGACGTCTTATTCTCAGCCCTTGGTGTCATATCCTACACTTTCCCTCTTGGGAAGATGTTTTCCCAATGTCTAATAAAAACGCGGTGCGTTGTTCAGTACCGGCCGTCGTTGCCGAGGGTCGAGTATGTTGTGGGCCAAGATCGAAGCTGAAATTGAGAGACACAAGGATTGCTCTGCCCTCCCTGGCATCATCCCGGCTGAACATCACTCCACCACCCAAAACACCAATCATTCGACGTCCAGCTACGAAGAGCAGGGTCCAAGACGAAGATCCTCATTTCTGTTTGAAAACGGTCTAGAACACCCCATGCGGCGCTTGAGCTCCAGAATAATACCTCACATCTGGCGCGATGTCACAACATTCACTTCATCCCATCCGCATCGAGTTCTATGTATGGACATGAGAATTTCGAGTTGAATCTCTCAGGCCATCCCCCGCTCCAAAAGTCCAGGATTGCTGTCAATTGCAAATGTTGACCTTTCCCAGTCCGTCAAATCTTACGCAGTCGGAATGGAGTGAAAGTGCAAAGACACATCACAAGATATCGTCGGCTGGGCCTCGTTGGCTGCAGAACCATCGAGAGCCGGATACAGACAATTTCTGATTGCTAAGGAAGTTGTCCGCGTTGGGCTGTTGATAAGGGAAAACAAAAATGATCATGTACGGCAACCTATATAGACTGTCGTATCCAAACACATTTTGAGGCCAGTCAGATTCATCAGTCCCCAAGTCTCAACAATCTACCTTATATCGGCTCTTCATTCCTTTGCCCAAACTCCATCTCTTTGATTGCCCTCCTTGCTTCACATCACAATGCAGCCGCAACTCTTGTCCCTGTTCATCGGGCTTGCCCTTGCGGCCCCTCATCTTGGCCCTAGAGACGATGGCTGTGGCGCGATCGTCAGCTCTGCTGTGCCTATTACCGTCACTGTTGTCTCTCCAGTGCAAACAGTTACCTTCAGCAGCTACACCGAGACTCCAAGCTCAGATGCCCCTCATACAGCAATCCCTGCCGGCTCTCCCGGCTCTCCCCCGGCGTCTGCCCCTGGAATTTCCGAGATGCCTCATGAAGCCTCCCCGTGGAGCAATAAGACCGCCTTGCCCAAAGAAACCTTCACCGTTACTCTCGGGCTTTCTACCCCGAGCGCGATCCTCCCCACCGCCTCCGCTACGCCTGGAGTCGCACAGTCAAGGATGGGAGAGCAACCTGCACCTTCGTCGCCGTCGGCATCAAGCAACTCTGGAAGCTTCACTGCCAATGCTGCCAGCTCTGCCTCTCAGGACTCCGAAACTCACGGTCATAGTTCATCGCCTCTGGAGACAGCATCCACTGAAGTCGGCGGTGTAGCGCCAACCACCATCACAACCGTGATTCCAATCACGCTGACTTCTCAGAGTGGAAGTGCCCCACTGGAGACAGCTAGTCCTTTGTCGACAATCACTGGAAACGCCTCAGTAAACGCCCCTTCGCAGACGAGTCAGAGTGTGCAATCCCAGACGCCTGTTCAGGTCTCAGCTTCGACTGGATCTCAAGCAGCTTCGTCTCTCTCAGTTACCAAGATATTCCTGGTCTTCATTCTCTTGGCAATAGAAGGATTCTTCATCTGCTAGTCGAGATGAATGTCACTCAAGAGATGTAGATAACATCGAAGGAAGTAGAAGAGAAGAGATAGTTTCGCTGTGAGGGAGTTGTAAGGTTGTAGTATTAATGGGTAATGGGGGCTAAATTTTGCCTGGATGCGTCAGTTTGCTGGTCAGTGGCCTGTCGTTGGCCCGAGTCAGAAAGCCGTTGAAGCTTGGGTGAGACATCGGTCTCATTTTGTGGCAGTTTTTCTTCATTTTGTGGGGTAATTAGCCTGGAATCGTAATCGTTAGCACTACCATTCTCAATCTATCTGGCCAGATATTTCCGGTATTCCGACATCCTGACCCTTGTCGAGCTGACTTTGCCATTTTGATACTAAGACATGGAAGCCAGACTACGCCCTTTTGAGCCAAGGGAGTTGCCAATCCCCACGCTGACTCTTGATATTCTGCTTGCGACAAAAGGATTGGGCAGAACTCGAGATATGAAAAAACTTTTTTTCAGGACGAGGGGGTCTGCCAACTGTGTCGTGTGAAGTGCATGAGTCTGTGGTTTGTCGTTGGAGGGTTCATACAAGGCAATTCCAGGAAGGATGGTTCGGGCACTACTTGGATAGCTCTACCATGGTTAAGGAAGACGCTTCGTGTGGCCGCGAAGTTAGCGTCCCGCGGGCTAGAACGCAATGAAGGGCGATGAGCGGATCCCGAAAATAAGGTACGCTAGCAACGAACTACTTTTGTCTAACTTCTGATCGTCAACATCGCATGAACATGATGTGAACTTCAAAGACTTAGATGCCTGAGACTGAAGTCAAATAGCTTTGGGTTTCAATCGCGTATTGCGAACATTTGGAACACGGCATCCCTCAATGATTTGATGCACGCAGACGATGGCAACTGCAATACAACACTTGGTAACCTCTATGCATCTCAGGCAGACCAATACAAGGCGACTTGTGTCCATCGTCGCTGTTGGAATATCGACAGAAAAGGGTTCACATGGAAGATAGCCTGGGCTGTTGCAAGCAGCTCCTCTGCCACCTATTTCCATCTCGAAGGCAATCATGGACTCCGCCCATTCACTGTTTCTTTCCCATACAAAAGTAAGCAGTTCAGTACCAGATCGTTGAGCTGTGTGCCAGCTGAAAGGCGTTGCCCTGCTGACGTGTGTCTCAACAGTCGTTAACCCAGCAACGGTCAATAGATGATTACATCCAAACATCCCCGATAGCAGCAATAGATTAGTGGTGATGGTGATTGCTCGTGTCTGGATTGATTCTCGTGAAGGGCTTCTTTAAGATTTGTGGAGCGATGTGTAAGTGTCTAGGAAATGTTCTGTTATGGATTGTTCGCTATACATGTCTTCCAGTATTTTAGACGTGAGGATGTATTTGCGAGCTATAGCACTCAGCAACAAAAGTCACTCGGACTGAGATTGACCCAACGGTCAAGAAGTTTTTTTGACTTGTTTCTCAACTTTTCTATCAATGTCGAGACTTGACTCTTCAGTCGCAGATAAGCCTCGGAGTCGAACTTCAGTAAGCAAATGTGCTGCATGTCATTAGCCATGGTTCAGATCGAAGGAGGCTCGCAGGAAACGACGTTTAGGACCAGTGATAGGGACAGTCACTTGTGGCCTCAATTCTCAATTGTCTCTCTGCTTCATAGAGACCCTAGAGTTTCCACACAATAGATGCTTCAGGCTTCATGGAGACTTCGCAACTTCTCCAGTGTGACGCCAAAACATTAGGCCCTGATTTCAGAATCTCCAATGATACTAGTGTGTAGACTCATGATAATGATAGCGTAATGAGATCATGTTGAGTGGTCACATTATATCATAGCAATAGCCATGTCCTGGATGCTCGTATTCGGTATGACGAATACCTAAACCGAATCACTGCCCAAGGTCAGCAGAGTCATCAATTACAAATGGCCCATTTCATCGCTGATAAGCACTTGAGACAGGTCTCAGAAACTCAAAATCCATTACGGGAGTACGAGGGAAGAACATGATGAGAAGTAAGCTCGCTGTAATAATGCGAGTTAACCACCATGTTTGAGGTCCTCATATCGGATTAATCCGTTACTAAGCTTCGATATTTGACCTAGGCCAAAACCGTTATTCGAACATTGGAATAAGTCATCGAGATTGGAACAGGTGTGAGAATTGAGATTTCTGATTCCTAGTTTTTCATTCTCTCTTCCCCGAGTTCTCGCGACGCACGTCATTATTCAGCTCTCAGCCCGCACGAACGCAAATCATCACGACTTGAAATGGCCTCGACTACACAAAACTCGACGATCCCATCATCATCGTTAGCTTCCAAATTCCAGCGATTAAACGGCTCTCGAGCGATTGCGAGAGTCTTATGATGGGACACCACATGGGCACTCGCCGAATGCCCTTTCTGCGAGCAATCTCATGAGCATGAGGCCTGCGACCATGTGGTTCTTTGTTGCACCATGCCATACCGCCGGCTACGCATACAGGCTTGTCTTCCCTTTTGAGAAGAACGATGCTGTGAGATGGCTTTCCTGGGAGATCAAGACATCTACTTCCGAAAAGAACGAAGAATCACACTTTCAGTGTTTTGAAACCGTTGGTTTCAGGAAATCTGGATTGAACGCTCTGCCTGGGTCCGGCCGTTTGGATCATCGTATCAGCGTGACGGACCGGTTTGAGAACATCAGTGTCAAAGACCACGCTATTCCTGCTGGAAACGAGACGCAATAAAATGGCATTGGGCCAGCCCGGACAAGAGCATTTCTGAAGCTTGATACAGAAGCAAGTGAAAAAGAGGATCGTTGGGGTTGCGTCCACGACTACGCGACTTGCCCTCACTTCAACCACGACCTACGCATTAAGGAACTCTAGGATCTTCGAGGCTATCTATAGAAGTAGCTCATGACAATCGCACAAACGTTCAGGAACTCTTACGATTAGGCGCAGACGTCAATGCAGGTGACAACCGAGGCCGTACACCCCTAATGGAGGCAGCTCTCTGGATCCGCGTCGAATTAGTCGGGATAGTCCTCGCCGCCGGGGCAAATGCGCAACAGAAAGATCGAGACGGGCGTGTCGCTGCAGAATTTGCCGAGGAGAATGAGAGAATCGATGAAGAGAGGGAGTATCGACATGTCGACTACGCGGAGAAACCATTCAAGTCAAAGAGTCGTCTAAGACATATCAGGGCACTTCTCGGAGTTGCGCCTCCTTTACAAGCCCAAGTCGCCAAGTCCGAACTCGCCAATTTGTTCCAACCCCGGTTTGTAAAATCGCCAGTCGCGAAGACTGCTCTTTTGATAAATCCGAGACGAGACATCCCAATCGCGCAACAGGATCAGACAATAAGGGTTCTCCTCCGAGGCAGACTATTTGAGCCGGTTTTTGCCGTTGGCGGTTGGACTAGTGGTGGCTCCCAGTCCCCGTTTGGTGGCAACGATTACAGCAGGCTGGACTCCAACTACTGGGCTCACAAGACGCTGAGCTTTGCGAAGAGAATCGGGTTCACTTTGAGGAACACGAGTTAGATCCTGATTCTGTGAGGGGTATGTACCACGCCAGTCACGTTGTAGCTGAGTTGCTTTGCTTCGTCGCGCATAAACATCAGCTGTTTATTGAGAACGAGGATGATCGCGACAGACAGATCAGGCTTGAGATCTTATTCCACTACCAGCACATGGAGACGCTCACCAAAGTGGAGATCGTGACCAGTCAGAAGCCATGTCCCAGTTGCCTGATGTTGATGGAATATCTGACGAAACGGATGTGGCTAGATTTCGTGGTTGTGGTCGCTAAAGAGATTGTCTTAACATGAGTTGATCAGAATTGGCATTGGTTGAGAAGGAGTATAGTGTAATGGGCCAATAATACAGATGCTACAGAGCAGGAATGATAATTTGAGCGGGATTGCGTATCGACTTCGAGTATCATGGAAGCATCTCAGTTTTGGTTTCGCGATTGGTCACTAACAGCAATCATTCATCTTAACGGCCGGCTCTATCGGTTGAGGGGTAGGAAAAGAGCGAAGCGTGACTGACGTGGGTAAAGACCTCCCTAAACCATCAAGATATGAGCACTTTTGTCGGGAGATCCGAAGATTGAATTGATACCCATTTATCAGATCCACGTTTTTCATCGTAACTCGGGAAGTGGGTAGAGTGTGATCACTGATGTGATCAGAGATGTTCTCGATATTAGTTCCGGCCCGTCTCTCGCTTCAACCCCACCTCCCACACTCCGCCGGGCTTGGCTGGGCTGAAGATCGGCGCGTCAAGCTTCAACCTTTGCCGCCCCCAAGGACCAACGACTCTTCTCGAATCCTGAACCTGGGGAAAGCAAAGGTCGCCGAGGAAGTGTTTAGACATGTGGACTCAGAAAAGTCAAAATCGAGTTAAAGGGGACGGTAAGTTCCTTGCGCTAGAGCCAAGGGATGGCGAAGCCGCGCAGGCGATTCATGAACATGAGCCACACTAAGAGTTCATCCCACTAATAAGGCCCTCTCGGTGGGGCTATTGCGAGCCAAATCGGCCAATTGTGCATTTGTTTAACCTTCTAAAAACAAACCTCGCAGACCCAAAGATTTTCCCCACGACGCTTGTTTGTCGAAATGACCCTTAATGTTGGGTTTCCCGAGGGGCTAGCATGACGATTTGCAAATGAGGCTCAGATGTGGACAACGTCACCCGGCTCGGAGGACGCGTCCCTCTTACCGGTTAGCACGGCGATCACCGTCTTGGTGAAAAGTCCGATCGAAAAAGGGAGTTGAAGTTGGAGGCTTTGTGTTATATAAACAGCCCACGATGTCAGCCCTGAAGTGTAGAGGTTCTTGATGAGCATCGCAAACCAACAACACATCCCGATCGCTGCTCACCTTCGCTTCAAAGCTTGAAACCAAGATGAAGTTCACAAACACCTGCCTGCTGATGGCAGCTTCGGCCGCGGCCCAGACTACCGCCCCAGCCCCGACAGCAACCTCCGGCTCCGGATCCCTCCCGTCCGTGACCCTCGACTACTGCACCGTCGTCGCCACCGCCGGCAACGAGTCCGTCGGCTACTACAAGTACCAAAACATCCGCTACGCCGCCGTTCCCACCGGCGACCTTCGATGGGCCAAGCCCCAAGCGCCCCCTGTCGAGACGGAAGTCAACACTGGTGACCTGGCCTCGGCCGATGTCGCCTGCAGCTCCGCCGAGGACTGCCTTTACGTCGATGTCTGGGCTCCCGCCAATGCTGCGGGCAAGAACCTCCCCGTGATGGTGTGGACCTACGGTGGTGGCTTCACTGGCGGAAGCAAGTCCGAGAACACTCCGGAGGGTCTCTTTGACCTTTCCACCGACTTCGTCTACGTCGCGTACAACTATCGCCTCGGTATGACTGGCCTTGCCAACGGTCCTACCTTCTTGCACGAGGGTGGTACTTCCAACACCGCAATCTGGGACGTCACGGCCGCTTTCGAGTGGACCAAGAAGTACATTAGCAACTTTGGCGGTAACCCCGACGATGTCACCGCCGTGGGCTTCTCTGCCGGTGGCTCCCAGACTCTCTTCCAGATGACTGTAAGTACTCGTCTTCAACTAACCTTTAGGCATCTAAGCTGACCCCCTTGAAGCGCTTCGCTGGCCACGCCGAACAGCTCTACAACCGCGCCTACGTCATGTCTCCCGGCTTCGTCCCCGGCGCCGGCCACCAGCACGCCGAAGCCTTCTGGCAAAACGTCTCCACCGAGGCCGGCTGCTCCGGCGGCAGCCTCGAGTGCATGCGCTCCATCGACTTCGATACCCTCAACACGGCCGCCACCACGGTCCAGGACGCCTACGACTACCAGTTCCAGCCCCGCGTCGACGGCGACATCATCGCCGACACCTATGAGGCCCAGTTCTACCAGCGCCGCTTCAACTTCTCCGGCCCCGTCGTCATCACCCACGAGCAGCACGAGGCCAACGGCCAGGCCTACGACGGCGTGAACACCACCGAGGATGTCGCTGCTTATCTCCGCATCTTCTTCCCCGCCATCAACGATGCCGTTGTCGACGAGATCCTGTCGCTTTACCCCGAAGATGACTACACCTCCCCGGGTCTGCGCTTCTCCGACATGAAGCAGCACTTTGATCTGACTGCCCATAACCTGGCTCTGACCCACGCCATGAACAACCAGACCTGGAACGCAATGGTTGCGCTTGATCAGGCCACTCACGGCACTGACCAGAGCTACTACTGTAAGCTTATTTCTCCTCTTATTCTACGTGTCATATATCATCTAACACATAAAACAGGGTACAGCACCTACTCCCTCTCCGACTCCACCTCCAGCACCGGCACCACCACGTCCAACTCCACCACCTCAAACTCAACCGCTACCTCCGCCGCCGCTTCGGCAACCGCTTCCTCTAGCGCAGGTGGCCCTCCCTCGGGTGGTGCCGGCGGACCCGGCGGTGGCTCTACCTCCGTCAATGCCACTGTCGCCGTCATGATGCAGAAGTACCTCATGTCCTTCGTCCTGACCGGCAACCCCAACACCATGTGGCCCGAGGACAAGATCGAGTGGCCCCAGTACGGCAGCAGCTCTGCTGCCGGCACTCAGCTCGTCTTCAACACCACCTTTTACCTTGAGGAGGATGACCTGGCGAATGCCCAGGCCAAGTTCTGGAATAAGGCTCTGTGGTACTAAGTGCGATGATGCTATTGATACCCCCTAGTCATAGGACCTTCCGTTGTATGTATTCATAAACAAGTAAATAAGCAAAGTAACAGAGGGATACTCTCCTTTTAAGGCCATACGTGAGAATGAACATCGCATTGGGTGATTTGGATTTATTGGCGGAACTCATATCAAAAGCCTTGTATGACTGAGGTAGTCTCCGGGATCTAAGAAACTTGTCCTTCCAACGTACAGATACCAGCTTAACAGCCAAGTGGTGGGATGACGCACTGGATAGGAGTCTTCGCGGCGCATTAATACTACCAAGCGAGGTCACTATTTGGCTACCTCATGAGGATGGTGAGGGGTCTGATCTCCCATCAAATAAGCAAAGCAAACAACAATCTGACCTCGTGAAACCGCCCCTCATTGACTTGGTAGATTACTTGTTGCTACGCCGCTCGCCTAAACTGTGCCTCAATCTTTATGAGGCCACGGCTCATGCGGCCTCAAACAGGCGCAGCTCTCAAATCTCAACCGCCGCTTTCCCAGCCGAGAAGCGCTGCGCAAACAACCCAGCCCGTTTGACATAAAGGAGGTAAATAGAACAACCTGCAGCACCAAGACGGCGTGGCGCATCGCGCTATGCATGAACAGTGGGGGCAACGACCACTCCGCGTTTCTCTGTTGGTTCTCGTCGTTGTTGGTGACGGAAACGCAGAGCTGCACTCAGCCCCCCTTGCATTTTCGCATGGGTTTCCTTCACGATGTAACCCTGCTAACCTTCATCAAGAAGATGGGTGAGCATAAATCTAGGCTAATAGACGCCGTCCGCAACCTTACCCGTGGAAGATGGCCTCTTCCCGTGCCTGAATGCAACCCTTTCTCATCATTAGACTTTCGTTCATCACATCATAGTAGCGGGAAATAGGGTGCCAGGCGTCTTTGAGCTGGCGACATGCTGTTCGCAATGGGACATGGGGGCCGCAATATGATCCTGACAGCATGTTTGCTAACCGCCAAGATGGGGCCAAACGGACAGAGTACAAAGGAGAGGATATGCCTGGGGTTCATAAAGAGAGCATGTCAGGGGACAGACGAGGAGGGGATCGAGGGGCCCTCTTGAACCTCTCTGCTCTCATCAATCATCTCTGCTGCATTTTTCAAGATGATTGTCCCTCGAAGAAGACAACCATGCTTCATCTTCTGGGCTGTGCCCGTGTTATTGCTTCTGTGCATCTTCTGGCAGAGTGACTCTAGACTGCCAACCCTACCATCGATATCTTCGTTATCGCAAACATCACTCCCTCCTAAGCCAGTCCAATGGCAGACAGAAGATGACAAACACTACTTCTGGAGGACGAGAAAGGTCAACTACCCAGCCCCGACTCCCCTACGACAACTCCCAACATGTCCCCACGTCCGCTTCCCCCAAGTTCAGGCCCATTTCCCACCCGAGACCGGTACCCAACGCCGCGTCCGCGGAGAACGCCAGCAAGCCGTCAAGAAAGCTTTTGCCAAAGCATGGGAATCCTACCGCGACAACGCATGGATGTACGACGAACTCACTCCCGTCTCCGGGAAAGGCCGCAACACGTTCGGCGGCTGGGCCGCGACCCTCGTGGACTCCCTCGACACCCTCTGGATCATGGACATGAAGTCCGACTTCGACGAGGCTGTCGCCGCCGCGGCGACAATCGACTTTACACACACCGACCTCGACGAAATCAACGTCTTTGAGACAACGATCCGCTACCTGGGCGGCTTCCTTTCGGCGTTTGACCTATCGGGCGACGCCCGACTCCTCCGGAAAGCAGCCGAAGTCGGCGAGATGCTCTACAAGGCTTTCGACACGCCCAACCGCATGCCCATAACTCGCTGGAAAGTGGG